AGTGACGGGCGGCAGTATTAACTGTCATCAACAATATTTAAAAGATTTATAAAAATAAACAAAACTTATAGATAGAGTGGCTAACAGCTAGGTCAGGTTAGGTTAATCAAAATTTTTATACCTGACTGCAGGTTAATAATTAGATATAAGAAAAATATATTTTTATCTAGGTTAATTAATAGTTAATCTATAGGTTAAATTTCTTAGTAATTAAATCTATTAAAAAAATAATAAATTTAAATAAAATATTTCTATTTAATTCTTATCTAATTTATATATAATCTTATCTGATTCTGCTTAATTCTTCTTAATTTCTATTTAATTCTGCTTAATTTAGATATAATAATTAATTATAGTTAAATATTATATTTATAATTAATCTGATTTTTATATCTTAACCTAACTACTAGATTAAGATTAGATTAAGGTTAAGATATAATAATCAGGTTAAGCTACTCTACTTATAGAATAAATAATCTAATTAAAATTAGAAATACAAGACTATTTATTAGATAATAATATTTTTATAAAAATCTAGAAAAATAGTAATAATTAGAATTTATATTTTATAGAATATAAAGATAATTTTAATAAAATAAAGAATTATATAAGAGTCTAGAAAATAGGATTTTATAAAAAAATCTTAAGAAGAATATCTTATAATAAAAAGTTATATAATATTTTATAAAAAATAAAAAAAAGATATTTTATAAAGAAAATAAGATATATATCTATAAAGATAAAAGAAAATGATTTTATATATAACAAAAACTTTTATAATATTTACTAATAAAAAACAGGAAAAAGATAAGAAAATTTAGAAATTGAAAAAAACTTTAATTAAGAAAAAAAAGATTCTTTTTATAAAAATAGTTTTTCTTTTTATAAGAATAACTTTACTAGATTTTTTAAAAATAGATTATAATTATTAAAAAAGAAATTTAAAGAAATAATAATATTATTTTTTTCTTGTATAAAACAGTATTTATAAGAAGAAAGTTAATAGATAATTTAAAAAATTAGAATTATATAAAAAATTATAAGAACTTTTATAAAATAATTATATAATAATCTATATAAAAAGATATTAATTATAAAGATAATTATTTTTTTATTATTTTAGATTTTTCTGTGAAACAGGTTTACTAGAAATATATTTTAATAATATATTATAAATATAACTCTAGCCTTATCTTCTAAAAAAATAATTATAAAAATTAATATCCTTATAATTTTTATAATAAGTTTATTATAAAAAATATTAACTACTTCTATATAAATAAGGTAAGAGATTATATAAAAGATTAGATAAATAATTATAATTATTATATAAATAGTAGTCACCTGTAAAAATAAGAAACTAGTAATAATACTTTAAGATAATATAATATTATCTTTAACTCTTATAAAGGATATTTATCTATTATAATATTTTACCTCTTAATTCTTACAAAGAATAATAATTATATTTTATTAGAAAATCCTAAGCATATATTCTATATCTACCAATTAAAAATAATTTTTATATTATTTATAATAAACATAATTATCAAGAATATAGAGAAATATATTATCAAATTTAATAATATAATTATTTATTAAATTTATAGATTATAGAAATAATATATATAAATATTATTTATATAAAATATTCTAGTCTTTTCTTATAGTTAAACTTTTTATAATTTAATTATAGATTTTATAATCATATTTTCTATCAAATATAGAAATAACTAAAGTCTTATATTTATAAATAAATTTATTAAGAAAATTAATATATTTAAAGAATACTTTAAAATATTAGTAGAGTAATAGAATATTGTTATTATATAATATTTTTAAAAATATAATTAAAATATACTTATAATATTTATATATAACTATAATATATAATATATATCTGTAATCTAAAAGAAATTGTTTAATAAATTATAAATTTATTAGTTTTGTTTTATAACCATATATTTATAAGTAAGTAATTAATCTAAATATATAATTTAAAATAATTAAAATTATAATATATTGTATAATAACTTAAATAAAATAAAATTATTTATTATTTTATTAATTATTATACATATAAATTCATTCCTAAATACTTTTATAAGAAATATATTATATTAATTTATAAGGACTAAGGGGTGAAATAGTATGATAAATAAATATCCCTTGTGAGAGTTAAAGGTAGTATTGTATTGCCTTAAAGTATTATCACTGGTTCCTATTCTTGTGGGTAGCTGCTACTTGTGTGGTGGTCACAGCTACTTGCCTAGTCTCTCACGTGATCTCTTATCTTCTTCTTGCAGGGGTAGTTAATGTTCCTTTGTGATAAGCTTATCACAAAGGTTGTAAGAATATTAGTCCTTACATAATTATTATCTTATATTTAAAATATTTTTATATTAATTCTACTATTTAATTAAAGGCCTTTTTAATAGGATAAAGTTTATTTATTATTTTATTAATAAATATCTTCTATATACTAAGATACTCTTATTAAAAATAGTATTATTAAAAATATTTTCTATAAATCTAATTATTTAAAAATAGGAGTTACCATTTTAGTTTATTTATTAAGAATACTAATCTTAATATTATCTAAGACTTTAGTTTCTATTTTGATATAAAAAATTATTATTTTATTAATATAAAATATAAATTTATTATTTTATATTCTAGTAATTATATATATATATATATTTTTATATAAAAAATAAATTATCTTTACTATTAAAAATAATAAAATCAAGTTAATATAATAATATATAAACCTTTTTCTAGTTTTTAAAATTATTAGAAAGTGTATATATTATTTTTAATTTTTAAATATATAAAAAATATATTTAATTATATTTATTATTTAATTAAAATCTATTTCTGGAGAGGATGTATATAGTAAAACTTTAATCAAATTACTATATATTATTAAGAAATATTTTTTTAATTAAGATAATCATTAGAAAATATTAGTAATTCTAGATAAATATATTATTTTATATAATTATTTTCACATTTCTATTATTTAGTATCTTACTTATTAATTAGAATATAAATCTAAATATTATAAATAGATAAGAGTTAAGATTTTATTATAAAAGACTTATTTATAAATTTAATAAATATTTTAAAGTATATTCCTAACTATATTTTATCTTTTTTTATTATTTTTTTAATTACTTTTTTATTTTATATTTATTATTTTGAAAATTCTGTCTTCTGTTTTCCTTATATATTTAATATCCTATGATAATATATTTTTATTCTTTAAAATATTAGTATTTATAATATTCTAGAATATCTGTATTCTATTATTTCTATAATACTATATTTATGACTACTAAGAAAACTTTTAATTAATCTATTGATTTTTTTATTTTTCTAATTTCTATATTATCCTACCTTAATCTATAAAGCTTATATATAATCTTTCCTTACTTCTGTAATAACTTCTCAGCTTTTACTATTATCCACTATAATAAATATTATAATTAAAACTATTAATAATCTATTTTATTAAACCCTTTATGTTTTTATCTTTCTAACTTCTATATTATCTTGTATTAATCTTTTTATAAAGTTCAGATCTATTTCTTCTGTTTCTATAATAATATTCTTTTATTTTTAATTTATTAACATTACTATTCTATTATTATTTATATACATAATATTATTCTATAAGAATATAAATCTTCTTAGACATGTATATATAACAATTCTTAGTTTAAATTAAGATTTTATTATTCTATCTTTTTATTATTTTAAATAAAAGATTATTAAATTTTTAAGTTTTAACTATTCCTCAGAGTTCTTCTAATTATTTTTTTATTTACTTACTTAGCCTTGCCATCAACCACTATAATAAATAAGTAGAGTGGCTAACAGCTAGGTTAGATCAGGTTAATCAAAATTTTTATACCTAACTATAGGTTAATAGTTAGATATAAAAAGTATATATTTTTATTTAGATTAACTAGTAATTAACCTATAGATTAAATTTCTTAATAATTAAGTTTATTAAAAAAATAATAGATTTAAACAGAGTATTTCTATCTAATTTTTACTTAATTTATATCTAATTCTGTTTAATTTTATCTAATTTTATCTAATTTCTATTTAAGTTCTATCTAATTTTTATCTAATTTAGATATAATAATCAATTATAATTAACTATTATATTTATAGTTAATCTGATTTTTATATCTTAACCTAACTATTAGATTAAGATCAGATTAAGGTTAAGATATAACAGTTAGGTTAAGCTACTCTATAAATAAATAATAAAAATGATTTTTATAACAAGAATCAGTACTAGAATTCTTAGTAAATATTTTTAATAACTAAAAAATTTAGAAAATAGTCTAGTTAGATTTACAAAACTTTAAAAACAATAATAAATAAAATTATAAATTATAATATAATCCCTGGGTTTTCTTCTCTTCATTAATCTTCTTACTTATTTCTCTTTCAGCTTAGCTATTAGACTTTTATTACAGCTTGTAGTATGACTGTTCTATAAGCCTCACATTTTAAATACTTTACTTGTGACAGGCACCGCAGGGCTGCTAGCTAGCAGCCTGGTGGCTCCAACCTCATGGCTTCCGCCTTCCTCTTTTGTATTGTGTATTTGACCTTCATGTATTTAATTGCCTGGAGTAAGGCATACAGAATCATCAATGAATCAACCTTGTCATTCGTCATAGATCTTCTGCCTAAGACCGGATACAACAATACTCATAAATAATCAAGCTAAGTCCAGGGCCCCTTGATGGGCTGAAATTAGTATACAAAATAAATAATACATTTATAAATCATATAATCATGAGAATGGCCTGAGCTTTGCTGAGGTAGTTTAAAATAGCAGAATAGCACACCATCCGAAATTGTCACAATAGAAAATCTTTTGAACTTAGAAGTAGCTCAATAATTTCTGACGTTAATTATACCAAATCATGACCCTGCAGGAGCTGCGAACCCAAAAATTTCCTGGATAAGAGAAACACATTGTACTGGATAATTGCCCACATACTTATGTGACCCCGCTTGTACAGAGTAGATAGCGCTATCAGTCCACCTTCTGAACAATTGCGCCACCTAAATTTATCTACCTACACTTACCCACATTGTGGCAGGGAACAAAGCTGCAAAGCTTTGTCTCAAATCAAACAACTAAAGTACGCAACACAAAATATATGACAACTGTCTGTAATATTCCAGATCTGTCATCTTGACCCCATCAATATTGAATTCATGAGTTTCATACAGTAAAGTATTGCTTAATTTTCATTATATCATCTACCACACTAACATGACACAAGCATTGCTTCCTTAAGAAGGCACGAGAGCTTATACTTCCTGGAGACTCCAAAAATCCATCATACTACTTTCAATTCTGGGTCTGAAGGACGCTGATCCCATGCCTCAGCAAATCCAAAACCCCCAAAGAAAAACGAGAAGATTTCGACCTGAGCTTGTTGAAACATCATCACGTACTTCCAGGGAAGTCCATCTAGACAATCATCCTGGACGAGCCCAACCAGCGAGACACGAATGCTCGGGTGTTCGCAGCATAAAGTCAACACCAGGGGAAAATGCTATGGTATTCCATGATGATACAGCAGGACAACATGACCCGGGCTGTGATACTGCGCAAACGACATGCTTAGCTCAGAACAAAGCAGTAGTTGATTTACACGACTCGAACGTGCAAGCATCGGGGGATTCCGCTAGACTCAGCAGGCATGCTTTTGTTGGACCGAACTCATCCACCAATGAATCCGACCCTGCAAAACAATCAAGACCCAGAAAGTTTGCACCTCAGCTCATGGAAACAGGTAAACGCTCATTCCGTCGAATCCACGCCACTCATACAACCCTCAGGGAAGGACGCAGTTTGAACGTGATAGGAGAAATTCCAAGCATCACTACCGCGGTCGGCAAGGCTACACTCAACCACAGGCACATGACACCTGAATCCCGTTTCTCATACATGACCTTGCACCAGCGCCAAGAGACAAGAAGACACTCCTTTCGAATTCCTGACCTTCCTGCAATCCCTTCTAGCTGTAGCGAGACATCCGAGACATCTGATACCCCGTCAGCACCTGCATCATCATTTGTATCACCTCACAGGCTAGAGCAAAAAAACAGTGCCAATGTTACGGCACGAATTGGCTCTCAGGATGATTGTTCCGATTACCTCTCGGCCATCGCAGTCATTACAGTAGAGAAACAGTTGAAGGAACAAGCGCTGGCAGCCTTTCCAAACGAACAAGATCACCAACCCGTCGATCATTTCGCTATTGACAGAGAAGAAGAAGAAGAAGAAGAAGAAGAAGAAGAAGAAGAAGAAGAAGAAGAAGAAGAAGAAGAAGAAGAAGAAGGTACCTTCAACCATGAGCAGTCAAGCTCTCCAGACGACATTTCCTCTCCATATATTCATCGGCGAACATCGTCCGCAGATCTCACGTGGGAGCTTGAGTATATGCGCAGGCACAAAGAAGAAGCCGAGATGAGTGATCGCGCAATGGCT